GCTCGCCTGAGACTCCGAGACTCCGCCGCCAACCCCCGCCCTGTACGGATTCAGCCCCGGCAGCATCCCCAACTGCCCTTCTCCCATCCCGCCGCCGCCGCCACCCAGCTGCTGACTCGGCAGCAGCGCCACCGGCGCCGGAAAATTCATGAAGTGCAGCCCGCTCGACATCGTCCCCCTGTACACCGCCGCCGCCGCCGAGTTGCTCCCCATATTTACCGACGGGAACGTCCATATCGGATCTCCGCCGCCTGCCGCCGCCTGGTTCCCGCCGGAATTCGCCACCATCCAGAAATTCGCCGGGATCGACGCGTGGCTCGCCGGCATAGCCCCCGCCGCGCTCGACTGCAGTAAGTAGCTCCCCATCTGGTGGCCCGCCGCTGCCGGCGGCTGCGGCAGAAACTCCTGCTCCGCCCTCCTCTTCCTCCCAAAACCCTCCTCCGTCAAATCAATGGAATTACTATTATTGTGATTCTCCCTAATCTCATGCTTCGCCTCCATAAAATTAGGGTTTAGCCCGACCGCCCCGAAATTGAGCATCGTGGCCGCCGGGGAGGAACTCTCCGGCAACATCCCGATCCCACCGGCGAACATCCCCCGGCGGTGCGGGTAACCACCAGCGTAGGCGGGCGAGCCGAAGTTGTAGGCAGCCGATCGGAGGTGAGACGGGACGGACATGGTGGAGCCGGAGCTCCGGAGGGAGATGTTGAGAGAGGTGAAGTTCGCCGGAATAGTTCCGGTTCCGGTGGCGGCGATGACGGCCGGCTCTGCCTGTTGTAGGAGCCACTCGATGGTCTCGCCATCAGACTTGTGGCCGAGCTCTCGGGTGAGTTGGAAAACCCGGGCAGCGCAGAGAGCCGGCATGCGGATGCGGCGCCCTCGGCCGTCGACTTTTGTGTGGCGGTCTTTGGTGGAAGTTCGTTTCGGCGGCGGTTTCTTGGCCGAGGGTTCGCCGGAGATGGTGTTATTGTTGTTGTTGTCGTTAGGGTTTGTGGAGGAAGAAGGGATATCGAGTGTGGGGGAGGAGGAGGAGGAGGAATTGTCGTTTTTGAGTTCAAGGAGTTGGAAGGGGAAGTTCGGGCGGCGGTGGTGGTGGAGGTGGTGGTGCTCGTCTCGGCCGCCTTCCATGGTCACATTTAGGTAGGGATAGTAGTGAAGGGAGAAAATAGCTATACTTTTGTGTGTGTGTGTGTGTGTGTGTTTGATTTAGGTAGGGATAGTAGTGAAAGGAGGAAATGGCTATATTTGTGTAAGTGTGTGTATGTGTGAGTGTGTTTGTGTTTGGGTATAAGATCCAAATGGTTAGAAAGGATGTTGATTTTTCTATGTGTTATATGTTTGATGTATGAAAGGGTGAAATACTAAACAAACAACAACAACAATAATGCATGAGATCATATATGAGTGAAAAAGGAGTGGAGATTGAATTTAGTTTGTGTGTTTGATGGGAGGGGGAAAATTCAAAAAAAGGGGAGTGAAAAAAAGTTTGAATGTTCAAAAGTCTTTGCTCAATTGTTGTTGGGTTATTGGTGCCTTATAATTCCTTTCACATTTTGTGTTTTTTAGCTTCAACAATAGAAGAGAGAGAATTGGAGGGGAGAGAGAGAGAGAGAGATGGGATGACTCATAAGAGAAGAGGACAAGCTTTAAGCAACAAAGATAATGAGTGGGAATTATTTGGGGGGTAAGCTTTAAAAAGCAAAACCAAGAAAGAAATGAGGGGGGAAAATGAAAAAGAATGGCAAAGGGAAAAAGAAAATAATCAAATATATGTGCTTTTTCATTGTGCTACATTTTTTTATGTTCTTTTGACAAAAACCCCTTTTGTTGAAATGCACCAAAAAAGGAAGAATAATTAAATTTTGTGATGATGATTTTTTTTTTTAAATTGTTTTTATTTATAAAGGATCATTAACTATTTTTTAAAAATATCTTGCATTAATTTTCAAAGGCGCCACCGAACCAGTCTCGGCTCCTAGTCGGTCCGAAGACCGATTTGTGTAAAAAAAAAAAATGCTAATAAATAGCCTAAATATAAGATTTTTATAAAATCTAATGTTTTTCTTTTCTTTTTTTTTTAATGGAAAATATTATGTTACTAGCCAAGAATAATACAAACTATTACAATTGAATTAATATATTGGTTGTGTTTTCTTTTCTATTGTGGCTTGGACAGAGGCTTTGGCTCAGACTCCACGTGAGGTGCTCTTTTTATCATTCAATCCATATAGGTGGCCATATATGGGACCCAAATTTTTCAAGTCAAAAAAATAAAAATATAAAATAAAATAAAACTTTAGAATTAGATAGAGTGAATTAATTAATAAAGAAAAATATACAATTTACAATAAAATTATTGTAACTAATTATTTCCTTTTCTTAAATGTGAAAATGGAGGCATCTCCTCCATTGATGCAATCATTTCAATTTTTGGCCTTTTGTTCTGCACTTTTGAGAGCCCTACTTCGGGATTCCTGCTGGAATTCCAACTTAATTTTGCTTTATTGTTTCTTAATTACGCCTTAATCAGTGTTTTTCTCTTCTTTAATTTTTTTTAATCACTCAACAATAGAGTATATAATTAATCACCACCTAATTAACAATCTATGGTGTGTAATATATATTTATGTTGTGTTAATTTGCTGGCACAAAATAAAATTAGAGTAATGATGTTTGGATCAATCTCATGAATGTCTGTTGTCTAGACACCTATATAGTAGCTAGCTACATTAAGAAGATAAGAAAGTCTAGGTAAATATAAAATATTTGATTTTTAATTAAGTGGAATATTTGATAAGTGCCATATTATATAGGGATTGAATTGAAGCATATATGGGTCAAAGGTAATTATCGAGGGGTTTAAATTTTAATATAAGATGCATATAATTCAAGATTATTCAACAAGCACGATGAATTTGATTTTAGAAGTTAAAATGTGTGATCATTTCAAAGGCACACGTAGACGGGTTTTTGCATATACTCCAACATTTCGTCTCAAACTTAAAAAATCTAACATTTCAAATTTCAATGTTGACTTATTAGTAATTTCAATATTCCATCTTAAAACGTGTTTGATAAGCAACATAAACAGTTAATTAGTTTAGTTTTAGTTTACAAATTTTTTATATTCCAATAAGTTTGATTATGATAAATATTTTTAAAAGCTACGTTGGAGCTCATAGGTAGCTTTAAAAATCGTCATTGAAACTTTATAATTTCAATATTCCATCTTAAAACGTGTTTGATAAGCAACATAAACAGTTAGTTAGTTTAGTTTTAGTTTACTAAATTTTTATATTCCAATAAGTTTTGGTTTGATATGATAAACATTTTTAAAAGCTACGTTGGAGCTCATAGGTAGCTTTAAAAATCGTCATTGAAACTTTATTTCAACTAATTTTATCAGACATTTATTATATCAACTAGTTTTGTCATAAGTTATAGCTAAAAGTTTTAAATTTACTTATAAATCATTAGCTAATTTATCAACTATTATCAAATTCTTTTAACTAGATTTACTAAGCCTGCTCTTAATCCAACAACCTCTCCACTTTTACTTATAATTACATAATTTTAAAATAGATTACAAAATGAGGAGCCAACTAAAAAATATGGATGTAAACCATTTTATAAGGCCCCCTAAGTATAGTCATCATTCATATGTAGAGTGCCTAATTAGTTTATGAATTTTGAGTTACTCATTAGTTATTAGCTGATAGTTTATAAATAAATTTTGAGAACTTTCAGTTACTCATTTGTTAGTTGATAGCATATAAGTAAATTTTGAGTTTGTGGTTGATGGCTAAAAAAAAAAAAAAATCTTGAATTATTGGTTAGATCATTAGAGAATTTGATCTCTTTTCTTAATCTCAACCTAGTTAATTTAGGTCTTCAAAATGTTGATCCATGCAAATTTTGGTTGAGGTTACCCTTATCATTAAAACAATTAGATGGGCTCACACCAGCCCAGCCCCACACCTAGCCCATGAGGACCTCTACCCTTGGTTACTATGCAACTGAAAACATAAAGCTTGTTATTGATATTGTTAATAGCACATATATGATATATCTATATAAGAGAGAATAAAGATAAAGAAGAATGCAAATTTTCGAATGTATATTGGTTATAAGTCGGAATAATCTTCAAAGTAAGATTGTAGATGTGTATATAAAGACCTCCTCCCCTAAATGGAATATGAAACAAATTAAAAAAAAAAAAATTGAAAATTTTATAAAAGTTCATAAACGAACTGCAAAAGGTGAAATCGACTGATATTTTTGTCAATATTTTCCCAATTTTGAGAATATATGGTGAACTAATAGTAAAATGTGGAATATTTATTTTAAATTAAATGTAGAGGGGTATAAACTATCCTAATGTATATTTTATTCCCTTTTTGTGTTTTGTATATTTTACTAGATAAAAGACACTTGTAGTGTCATATTTTATTCCCCCTTACTTTTGTTATTTCAAAAGTTGTATTTGCATTAGTGTTCTCAAGCTCCCAATAAAATTTGAGCAATGCACATATTTTACCATTAGCATGAAAATTTCTGGAAAAAAAAAATGTTAAAATACGCTTTCATGCAAATTATCGAGGACACTGCAACATTAAATGACGTGTCCAAATATTTTGCAACACTTACATATGATATGTTGTCAGTCAAATCAAGCAAATTTAGTGGATCAATTTGAGAGAAAATGATTAAAATTAAATAACAAACAAAAAATGCAGCTTGAAATAGCCAAATTAATATTTGAGTGCAATTTTGCTGTTCGATCCCATGTGATTGGCTTTTGTGAAGCTGTTGCCAATGCTGCTGCTTTTCAGACCACAAAGCCCTTTGATCAGCTGAAGATGACAGCTCAAATGTTCAACTTATTCACAAATTTAGTATATCTTTTTTGAATTTTATCATTAATTTCTACATTCTTAGTCACATGCATATTATATAGAGATCAAAGTGTTGTTCTTTTGGTTATTAGAATCACAAATGTCAACCAATCATATTCTTTTTTTTAATATTTTATATTAAAAAAATTATTTATTAAAAACTATATGTGATATAGCCACCTACACCGAATCTACCATTCTGCGGTTTACTTTTACAGTAAGAAATGTGTCAAATTGTTGTATTTTTAAAAAGATAATGCATAAATTTTCAAAGTAAAGTATCACACTCTAAAAAAAAACATAAACAAAAGTAAAAATATTTCACAATTTAATTAAGAAATTATGACGCATTAATTAGTTAGTTCTGGTCGTACAATATTTTTGTGATATTATGTGGAAACTTAGATTGATACATATTTGTATATATAAACACATATATATACGTAGTGGCCATAGTGGGCAATATGATAGATGATGTTGGATGAATACTTGAAAAGTGAAGACAGTTGGAATCTTAGATTTGAGTGGAGATAAAAAGAGTCTCTGACGCCCATCTAAAATACAATCTACTAATATTATCATATAAGCATTTATTTTATTTATATAATTTAATTATTTGGAGGAGTCACATCAAACATACCCAACTTTAATACTTTTCTTCTATAGATATATTCAACTCAATTTAATTTAATGTATCAATCCATTTATATATGCTGGAACTCCCACGTATCTCTGCACGTGACAGTTCGAGTATAAAAATTCGTATATTTGTATAAATCTCTTAAATTAAATGTATGAATATACTTCATAAAAATTTATTTTGATGTTTTTTAATAAAAATGCTTAAAAATATTGCAAGGAATGTTTGATTATTTAGTGAACCACTGGCCCCAAAATAATAATTATAATAATAATAATAATAACTCGTTATCAAACAGTCTAAGATGTTAAATGTGGACCTCACAAACCGTCGGCGGAGGCATGATAGTGAAGTTCTCGGCCTATTACATTTTTTATTTTTTATTTTTTTGGCTGCCAGCTAAGTACTTGTTTATAAATACTATAGTTAATTTAAAAAATAAATAGTTAAGTTAAATTTGAGTGAAATTTTAAATTTGTATGAAAATAATACTTGAAATAAAATAATTTACATTTACTTGATATAAAAGTAGAAAAGATGTAATTATAAGTGATGAATAATTAAAATTACATGAATGAAAGAATAATAAATTAAGACTGATGATATTTTTGAATGATTTATTAGTATTATTTAATTAAATTTATAATTTTGAAACTAGTATGATTAAGTCAAATTTAAGTTGAGATTGATTTTTTTTGTTGGTTTTTTTGTAAACAATCACGAATCACGCCCATAGTGTAATCAATTTTAGAACAAAGGTTTAATAATAATAATAATAATAATGGTAGTATTCATATTTCAAAATCTAATTAAACAGTTTGGGCATCAAAATCTTGGATACTAAGAGCATTTGTTTATGAAATTTTTCAAAAAATTTCCAACATTTTAACTCAATCATTTTTTTTAACTCAACTTTAACTCAATCCCACTATCATAAAAATTATCAATATAATTAAATAATATCAATCAATCATTCATACACACCACATCAATTTTAATTCACTATTCATCCTCTCAAATTATTTTAACTAACCATCACTTCAAATCTTTCTCTTCTACTTTTACATTAAATCAATTTTAATTATTTTATTTTAAATATTATTTTAATATACCCACTAACAACTAACCATACCACCTTTTTCAAAACTAACCAAACCAAATCAAAAAATCTAAACAAAACCAAAAATTTTTATAAAGAAACATGCTCTAACCATTGTAAACCAACCAATCTCACCTGCAACAACAAAATAGAGCTGTAATTTTACCTAATTCTTAAGTTCATCGGATGACCGCAAGTTCCATCGTGTTTACGACTCAAAACAAACTTCAGACGAAGATAAGTTAGCTATACTTCAGAAGCCAATTTTACTGGTAAAAAGATAATTTAGCTATACTTTCATATTGCAAGGTAGGCGTAAAAATTGTCTCAGCCATATAAGAAAGAATGAGATATATGGCTATTGGAGGTGCAGAAAAGCAACAGTACAAACTTAAAAGAAAGTTGGATAGTTTTCAAGGCAACTCTAAAAAAACCATGACACTAGAGCCTTCTGAGAAATCACCGTTCTATCTTTAATCTTCAGCTTCATCATCCTCATCGTCCTGCTCGTCTTCATCATCACCAGATACATCACTGTCTTTTTCCTGTTACGGTTGTGTGAAAAGAATCAAAATATCGAATAAAAATGCAAGTCTATCCGATATAAAGTTCTCCCATAGAAATTAAACTGCTTTGTTCGGAAACACTTCTCAATGGTCTTTTGGATGAAAAATTTCATTTCAAGAATTAATTCATGTTTGATGCTTAGTTAAGAATAGACTTATGAATAAGTTGGTCTTCCAAAAAGTCGATTTTAGTGAAGCAATTTACAGAAGTCCATTAAAGAACTGGATTTTCACAAAAGTACTCCCAAACAAGCACCAAATATTCTCAACCAAATATAAAACAGGCTTAGTGTATTTGTGATTACTAGAAACCAACTACATGGGGTCCGAACAAATGAAATTAAACAAAAGAACATGTCTAG